CCGTCCCTTCTCTTTAAAAAAAAGTAAATGAATGTAATATAGAATATCATATACATAGGGAGAACACGATGACATTTAATATATCACAAATCTTGATATGTATCATACTAATGTCTTTTTTTTTTTTTTTGTCAATGAAAAGATACTTTATTCATCTTCCAAATTTTGCCGTCCCTTCTCTTTAAAAAAAAGTAAATGAATGTAATATAGAATATCATATACATAGGGAGAACACGATGACATTTAATATATCACAAATCTTGATATGTATCATACTAATGTCTTTTTTTTTTTTTTTGTCAATGAAAAGATACTTTATTCATCTTCCAAATTTTGAAAATCAGCATAGCAAGTTTCTCAGCAGAACTGAGATTACAAATCACTCCAAAAGCCAACTAACAACTCTCAGCCTCAAAGAATTACAGAGAACAAACTCATTCTCTATTTTCATCCGTAAAAAAACTATTGAGGATAACAACTAATATGTTGAACTTTATCTCCTTAAACAATTGGTCACCAGATTTCATTTCTTGTTTAAAAATTCTGGCATTCCTCTCATTCCAAATGCTATATACTGTTGAGGTTAGAGCCATTTTCTTTAGCTTTTGCTTGAATCCTCTCCCCCTCAGCTTGAAACAATACAAGTTCAAAGTTTGGCTCCAATAGCAAGACCTCCACCTGAACTGTAACCAATCCATGAACATGACCCAAACATCTCTTGAATAGCAACTCTTAAATTTAGTTCCCCTAACCATTACACTAAAACTTCGAAGTTATGGTGAGGATCAATGATTATAGTTTTATATTAATTCTAACATACCCCCGCAAGTTGAACGTCATTTTTTATGGGCTAAAACCTGGACTCACGCAGTTGTATTAATTTTTAGAAAATCCGCTTAAAATTTGTGGCCAGTGGGATTTGAACCTGGGTTGCTCTGATACCATCTTAAATTTATAGTTCCTCTAACAATTACACAAAAACTCTGAAGTTATGGTGAGGATCGAGGATTATAGTTTTATATTAATTCTAACGGCAACATTCAAAGAAGAGATGGTTCATGCTCTTAGAATTAGAGCAAAAACAGCAATTGTTGATATTAACTATTCCCCTTCTGATCAGTCTGTCTTGGATTAGCAATCGATCTTGGACTGCTAACCAACTAACAAATGAGTGTCTGGGATAGTTTGTAGCCTCCCATACTGTGCTATTACATCTATGCTAATAAATGTGAGATCATGCAAATCGATACTGGCTACGCTTATGTGTTAGACATCACCCTTCTCCTTCATATACAATATTCCACATAGGACACCTATAAGAATTTCTTTTCCCTCTCTTTCTAAAAGCTCACTTTGCAATGACTAAAGCCTGGCTTGTAGCTTTTTTGTTGACTTGCCCCATAAAGTACTCTGGCAAATGTCCAAGGCTAAGGAAAGAGCCCTTTGGAGGGAGGGGTTTCTTTTCTTTTCAAAATTGGTTTGATTGTATCTCAACTCATTAGGATGATGGAGATCCATCATCAAGTTGTGGAGAGCATTTGTGCTCATAAAAGGAGAGTTGAGATGAAAAAGGGGCTTGCATTTGTCCTTTGGCCCCTTATCCATGTTCTCTTGTATGGAGGAAGAATAACTTTTCCTTACCCAAAAAAAAAAGGGCTTACCTTTTCTTTTTTTTGTAAAAGGAGCCTTTATGGAGCCTAAAAATCTTGAGGGAATAGCAAGCTTCACTCCACTCACTAGCTAGCAAGCTTCACTCCACTCACTAGCTAGTGCATGGGGATACGGTGCACAATCCATATTATGAACTTAATCCTCCCACTTTGATGTTGGAGACAGTGGTTCTTGTAGTCTAAGGTTCTAACATTGAATTCCTACCAAAAAAGAAGCCTTTTTGGTTTACTTGAAGCACACTATGCTGCCTATTTCAATATGCCAAACTTGAATACGGTAGTTGATATGCATGATTAACTGTCAATAGGAAATTAAGGAGCAATATTTTATTCATTAACAGGACAAGTTAGGAAGTCTAAGGTGTTGATTCAAAAGCCAAACACATCGTGTTAGGTTTTGGTTTTAAAATTGTAAAACAATGACTATGTGACTTAGTTCCTGGTTCACGCAGCAAGGCCTTGTTGGAAATTTGGATTTGGCTTCTATCTAAGTTGTGAGAAACGTAGAATAACAAATAACCCAAGTCTTTATCAAAGACTCTTACTCTTCTCGGAGAAAGGTAGTTTTGGTCAAAATCCATGAAGTTCAAACAACCGGAATTATTTTTGGCAGGTAGCTCTTTCTTATTATTGATCTTTTTTTGACTTTCTTTTTGGCACCATTAGGTTTTCACAGTTAATCTGGTTGTATATTCTTTTCAAATATGTCACTTTCAAAATCCCTGTCATTATTTTCTGTGAAAGCACACCAATCAACAAACAATTAGAACGATAACCAAAGTTCTGAAAGACACACGAAGGTACTACTTCGTTGCATTAACAAATAGCCAGAATTTTTTAACGAGCAGCAAAAAGATGCTGGTTTAAGTTTAGGGGCTGTTTGGATCGGGTATTTTGAAGGGGAAAGGAAGGGGAAAGCTGCCAATTTATCAGCTTTTTGACAGTTTCCCCCCAAAATCGCATCTATAAGAGGCGATTTTGGGGGAAAACTGCCAAAAAGCTGATAAATTTGCAGCTTTCCCCTTCCTTTCCCCTTCAAAACACCCGATCCAAACGGGTCCTTACAAAATTTCTGCACTAAAGCAATTAACTATTTCCTTTTTCATTGAACTCTATGACATTATATGCGAATAACTTCACTCCAAAGGAGAAGGTACAACCATAACTTCCACCATTTCGTCAGTGCATTTATGAGGAAAGCCTATGCAGGAGTAATAATGATGCAATTATAGGATCCACCTAACACAGGTAAAGAAAAGAACAGGTTCGCACAACCACCAAAGGTTTCCAATTGCAAGCTACAATGATTCAGATAGTTTTTCAATTAGCCATAGCTTTCACGAAACAGAGCGCCAAAATCATAACACAGAATTTCAACGAACATCATCGTAACCATAAAAATACTTGTACGAGGAGCAATATGCTCTCTCTTCATAGCAATATGGTGAATGATGAAGTATTTGCTGGTGCATCACATAATTCATTCTACACAATATTTGCTTTGTACAGGAAAAGGTTTCTATTATGTTTTAGCTCCCTAGCCTTTCATGAAAATAATTACTTGTTCATCAAGGACAGAATTATCTACATGGAATTCAATACAACACGCTGTGCCAGACTTTCAAACTGTGCTCCATCTGATATCGGCGTGTATCACTCCATTCTTTGAGTTAATAAGATGGTACGTCTCATTGATCCGTCCATTATTTACAACATCAGTGAGATTGATATCCACAAGCCCTAATGATTCCTGTGATCGATGCGTGTAAAAAATATATATATAAACTTGGCGTAAAACTAGACTACAAATATACGTTGATGGCATAAGAATCATTTGTTTTACAAACCTTTGGATAGAAGTTGAAACCCTTTCTCTTGCTCATCACTTGAATGTGAATCTTCTCGTTTATTGGGGCCTCCTCCAACACAAACTGAAACTCTTCATTCCATCTCGGATCTCTGGTTTTCTTGATCAACTGGAATCAAAGTTGCATAATTGTTAAGAGGAAGCACTAGTAAGAGCATTGGTTTTCAAATATAGTGGAAATCAACAAATATAAGATATAAAGGAGAGAGAGAAAATTTGCATTGTATTTAAAATTCTTAAGAGCATGTCATGAACAAGAACATACACTTCAACAGTACATGATATGACAGAGTTTATGAATTCATAGATGGATAAACATAATTTTTTTTTTAAAAAACAACTTAAATTCTTCGACTACGCCTTCTGCTAGTTTGAGCATACCTTAGTTTGCTTACGCTCTCCTCTGAAGAGGACAACTGCATAGGGATTGCTGTGATGGTTTCCTTCAACATCTTCGGCACTTTCAATTGTTAAAGAAAGAACACCACCACCACTTGATGAAGTTTCTTCAGGCAGCCTAATGCTGCTGTGACCGTCTCCATCTAAAATTCCACTGAACTTGCCACTTTCTTCCTTAAAAGGATCAAATGTCAACTCCACCACAATCTTACCCCTGTTCTTTTTATTTTGAGGATCGTTAGGATTCAAGTTCTTAAGAAGATCAAGGGTGAACTCCTTCGTCTCATAAGGAGTGAGCAAACTAAGTGGAAGATTCAAGTTCTTAAGAAGATCAAGGGTGAACTCCTTCGTCTCATAAGGAGTGAGCAAACTAAGTGGAACCACTTGCATTCCCAACTTATCATGCATTTTTACCTGCACAAGGTAGCTTCAGGATTCAGAATAACGTTTACTTGTATTCCTTTTTCATTCCAAATATATAGGAGAATATTATTTAATTTTCTGAATCAATAGGTCAGACAGATGGTGTTGCTGTGGAAAGAATTTGAGAAGTCTACTTTAGACTGGGAATTTTCGGTTCAGTGTGAAAATTCACTTCATTATGCATCTCGGTAGCTAGTCTGAAAGAAGTATAAAAGAAAGCCAATTATGAGATGTATTTGCTTATCCTCAAGCAATGCTACTCTGCAAATAATGACAATTTTTCTACCAGTGTAAACAAATTAACATGAATATGAAAATAATATTTTTTTTAGAATTGGAATTTTAAAGATTTAAAATTTTCCTCATATTTTACAATAGCTACTCTCAAGATAGCCAAAATAAGATAAGACGCATACAGGGAACTAAACCTTTTCCCAGTCAAAGACATGCAGCTGAAGGACTTGAGTTGCTGGATCCTTCACAATGAGCTTGAAGTTCTCATTCCATTCAGGATTCAAATTGCTCATTTTAATTGAAGTTTTCTTTGAAGGAAGTCCTTCTTCGCTCAAACTGAGTTTAACATATGGATCAGATTTACCAAGAAAATCCATTTTCAGGAGGTTAAATGCACGCACAACCTTTACATGTAATATGCCAACAGGTCTTTTTGTGGCTTCACTGCAAAGATAACAATTGAACATATCAGAGGATGATATTAAGAATTCAAGAAATAATTTTCCTATATGATACACTTGGAGAAATACAAGTCCAAATATTTGGAAACTCCACAATTATTTAAAAAACAAATCCATGATACTAGTCCAAAACTCAAACAAACTTAGAAGAAAGAGCACCAAAAATGAGGGCAAACAGGGATTCTTCATATTTTATATTAATAGAACAAATGTCAAGCATAAAGCAAGACCATCTAAAGCTTACATGAGTAGGGCAATATGGAGGATTTAGTAGATACTCGGTGAAGATTTGATGGAAGAATTTAGTGAAGTGCCTCAGAGGATTTTTCATCTAATTCATTGTTGAAGACAGAATATGACAATTGATAAGTCAGCAAAAATATTTCTAGGAGTGAAGTGTAATGATAAAATGGTAAAATTATGACATATAGAATAAGCTCAATTTATGAAGTAGTAACAACAGAAGTGTGCGAGTCAAACAACGTAAATTTGGCCATGCACAACCTACCGGAAATACAAAATGCCCTCTTACATAATTTCCCCCCTACTCTCATAAAAGAAAATACATACGCATACTGCTAAAAATTTTAACTCCATATTCACTTTAATAGTTGAGCTGTATATTTACTTATAGTTTGTTAACATCAGATGTTATAAATCAAAGAACCCATGAGCCCAGGTGATAATCAAGCAGTCTTACCACATCATCCAGTGCATAGAAGAAATATAATATAATGAATTGTTAAACGAAATTGAATACGAATGTTTACCTAGCATTATCTAGGACCGGTATTTCCAGAATATTCGGCCAATGATAAAGATTTGAAATTTGCACAGCAACCATGTCCTATAAGTATCACATGAAAGAGTTAGACAACCCAATGAAATAGCTTCAGATCTTTCATTACCCTAACATGATGTAAGCCACAAAATATCTGAAAGCAGGTTCTTTTCTTACAGTTTTTTTTTAAATAAACTCCTTCTAGGTTTTATTTCAGTGATACTCAAATGGGTAAATGAATTCATGGTCACAAACTTTTGTCTCATTCAGTCGGTATTTGTACTCTAGTTTTATTTCAGTGATACTCAAATGAGTAAATGAATTCATGGTCAAAAACTTTTGTCTCATTCAGTCGGTATCTGAAAGCAGATTCCTTTCCGTCATTTATTTTCCTCCACAAAATGTCTTTTTTAGAGTTACTTCATCTTATAGATAGAAGCTTTCAGTAAGGTATATTTTGTACTCTGGTTTGTCTCTCACTTTTTAGGGTTTATGATGTTTGTTTACTTTTCAATGTTTTCATCAGAAAGAGAGTTAAACAAACTATGGTAGTAAAGCTCCACAGTAATAAAATAGTTAAAATAAGATACTAGATTCACTCAAAGGGGAAAAAAATAAAATGCTAGAATATAATTAAGTACCTGAACAAACCGATATAGGATAGGAATAGCCATGAGATCTCCACCAAGTAATTTAAGTCCAAAGTCAACTTGTGGCTTAAATAATAAACAGAACAAGATCAATGATCGCAAGATTTTGCAAAAAAAATAAGAAGAAAGAAAATCCTAAAGGAATAAAAGAATTTACCTTTTCCATTAAGCAAACCGTCAAGTTTGCAAAACATGGAAAGCTTGGAACTAGTGGCTTTAGAGTAACACGTGGTGCCAAAGATACTTGTAGATCCAACAACTAAAAGAAAAAAGAAAGTGCAAATGATGTCTTAGAAGATGAATTGAATGTATCTGAAGCAAAAGTACCATGAAAACTCTGATATTAGGGACTCACCTGTACAGTTATTTTAAATGACAACAACTTCAGAGTCAAGGTTATGTTGCAATTACCAGCCCATCGGATCCCAGGCTCAATAACTAATGCTTTCTCTTGAACTTCAATGACTTTAACGCCTGTTAAGTTTAACGAACAAACAATTTAGCTACTTCCAGCATGAAAAGTAGAAAAATAATATATCAAAAAATTATAAAAAGAAACCACCAAGGCCTGAAAAATCTGAGTTAAAGATGTTCCTAGGAAAACAAAATTGACTTGAAATACTCAAAAACATCATGTACGCAAGAATAATACGCACAATTATTTTGCCAGTACAGATTACAAATTTTCTACACATAGCAATGATCACCGAGATACGCACCATGAATTATAGGTGGAAGACTACCAAGTGTTAACTGATCAAATTGGCTTCGCCAAGCTTTGTATGGTGTTGCATACTGCCTGTTCATAGCCATTTATGAAATGAAGATAATTAAGATGTTGGAGAATCACTATAACTTCCTCTAGAAATATATTTCAGCAACTTTTTCAGCAACTATACATATAGAAGAGGAAGAACCTTATCCAAGTATGGCCACATATCATAAACAAATTTATTCATCCAGTCAACCTGCATAAAAAATCATAAAGAACATCAGCAGTCAATCTTTAAGGGAAAAGGAAGCCAAATGCACTTGTCTTAACCACAAATTATGTTCTGGGTAACAATGATCCGACAAAAGAGATATTATAACAATACCCTGGAGAAATTTTCTTTTGATATGAAACGAATTTGTGAAATGTTTTACGATAGAAATTAAATTATTTATTGACAAGAGCCGCAGACAACAGAATGTCCAAAAACAAAAACAACAGCAACCAGTTATCTCACAAATGAGCAATCTTGTTCTTGAGGACACCATGTAGGCACTGGATGCCTTCTCTGCTTGTTCATTGTATAAGTGATTTATTATTATTGCTACATGTTGACTCCCAGGTTTCACCCTTGAACAAAACAACACATACTTTTGTTAGTGATAATATTCTCCAGCAAAGTGTTACCCCACTACTGACCTTGGTTGTATCCTGTGAACACCATGTGTGCTGTTGTACATTTCATTATAAGTTCCCAACTTATTGTGATGAATTATAAGTAGATAACATTTCATCCAGCACTACATCCAGCATCTTACAGTATCTGATGCAGCTATAGGAAATATCTATCTTATATATGTATCTGTTGGGTTAATGTATCTCATATAACAGTTAGTGTATCCTATTACGCGGTTTGTATCTTAATATAGATATATGTTACTATTTAAAAAGAGTTTTTAGGTTTTAATTATGGGATGCGAGTTTTCAAATTATTGTGGTGCAACCTTTAAAATTATTCATAATCTCTCAAGAAAATAAAAGTATAAAACATACTAAACAGTGCATCAATTTTCTTTGGTTGACAACAAAAATACTTATTATTCCACATTAGCAAAACACTCAAAATGAAGTTTGAACTCCACATGAAACAATCCAAGTTTACTCATATATAACAGCCTTGAAAAGCACAGCTTGCCTAAGCTTGGAACTCAATAACTCCTCTGTAATAACATGTTTATTTCACCAAGGGGCTTAGTTAAGTGGTATCCAGGTACACCAACATTACAATGTTGGACAGATAAAAAAAAAGGTCCAAAATCCTTGAAAATTAAATATGTGGTGAAGTTCCAATAGCAAATATTCAATTAAGGATCCGCTATAAGATCAAAATTGTAGAGTATCCATAATTTTACGGTACTAAACTTTGGGAGAAGCTACCTGTTATGTCTTTTATGTTTAGCTTCTGTATAGGGGGATATGTTTTGTGGGATGTAGTTTTAAGAACTTGTTAAAACTACACTTTTGAACTTGGAAGTATGGTTTTATAAATGTAACAACCATTTAGTTAATGTAGATAGGCTGGGTTATCAGCTATACTTCATCCTTTTTCTCAAAAAAATTCTTACAGTACTAGCTTCTAAAGACTTATTGTAATACAAACTACTGTAAACAAAGCAAAAGACGAGAATCAATTGAAAAGGGACGAAACGAAACCCACCCTCTCAGAGTCAGGACTTTTTACCCATGAAGGAATCTCAGGCAAGAGTGTCTGCAAAGTCTTTGAATCAAACTCATGCAAGGGTCTA